AATATTATACAGTAATTTTTTCCTACAACTAATATTGATAAAATCCATTATCTGCCTGTGGGAGACTCAAATACAGAGCTAAACTGTAGAATAAATGATTCATTACAAACGATGTGCCCAGTTTTAGTAGTAACCCGGTTTCTATATCAGTTTAAGGATCCCTAAATCTGAAGGCTAGGGAAGGGTCTAAGCCAATCATTAGTAGAGCCGGGCAAATTTTTTTGACCCAAATTTTTTTTTGGAGAAATATGCAGACTTGTTTTGTGAACGCATGTTGATTTGGTTGCATTGTTTGCTTTGGATTTTTTTTTTAATCCAAATGTTTTGACATTTCTGAAAAAAAATTGTCTCAGTTTGAAAATGACTTTTGAAATTTGTTTTAATTTTATTTTAAAATATTCAAACATTTTAAAACACTTGACATCGTAACAATTTTTAAAAACGTTTTGATTTGCCAAAAATGTCAAAACGTTTCCATTGTAGGTCTAACCCAAACGATTCCCCCCCCGCCCCCCGACAGCTCAAAATTGCTAACGAATCAAAAAATCCATTGTTTACCCTGTTATCATCAGAGGGTCCAGGAAAATACATGCACCAATGTCTGGAGTACTGAAATATAGAGATAAAATTTATCTTGTAAACTGTACACATTGAACAGAATGTTGTGAACGATTTGCAAATATGAACAGAAGGATGTCAACCATTTCAATAAATATTTTTAGACCTCTATCTTAGTCTTTACATGTTTAGGATCAGCAGTAGGGATTCTCTTCTAACAAAAATAAAAGAGAATGAGAACTGATCAAGAGACCAACCTTATTAGGCAATTTCCTGTCTTAAAACTAAACCTGCATGCATTAGAAAATCAACTGCATAAGCTTGTAGAGTGGTTACTTAAGTCAGATTTCACTAGATTTATTTCTTTACATAAATGTAGAATTGGGATTTGTGTTATACGAGCAAAGGAAAAATGAAAACTCCCAAGAAACTGGAGAAATGATGCTTTTTAAAAGAACAATTTAAATCACATAGGTAAGATTTTGAGAAATCACTCTTCTTGCTCTGGTTAAAGAGTCTCAAAATCTTGCCCATTGTTTTTGTAATTGCTTACCTTAATCATCTTCTACTTGCTTTTATTTTAGGTACAAAAGAAAGCAAAGCAAAGCAACTTCATCAATACTTCAGGGCTTCCAGAACCCAATATAGACATATTTGAAAAATCTTACACTAAATCCATAGAGTTTTGGCACTGACAGATTAGACTTTTCTGTTTCCGGCTACTACTGCAATTTCTGTAAGACTTAGATGTGGAAATGCAAAGATGTAGGTAGCTACAGTGCTTCTTTAAATGACATATTTTTGGTTTACAGTGAAGCACATAGAGCAACAGCAGGAAGGTCTAATAACTTGTTCTTCTGGTATGCTTCTGGTTTGAATGGTGTTCTGTGCTATGTGACTCAATGTAAAGATTGAATAATCATAGCATTTCCACTCATAGTGCATATGAAAAACTGAGTTCTCTTTGATAATTATAATTTAAACATCGAAGATTCATTTTTTGTTACAAAACACTGAAGTTCAACTTGACATAAACACTCCTATGATTAAAAAATGGTAAACAGTGGGTCCTGAAATGAAATTTGAATAATGATTTGTTTTCCAAGAATGTTTACAAAATTCAGTATGATTTTTAAAGTTCTATTCCTTCCTTTCTTTAATTTTTCATTAAATAAGACTGATGAGCAATGGGCTGGAAACTCAAATGAGGCACACATGGAGAGTTTAGACACATAAGAGTTCTACACAGTTCACTTGTGCCTTGGAGGGATGATGATATATTTTTCAAAAAGCAATTTGTCCCAGTAGTACTGGCCACCCTGTTGAAGAGTTTTAGTTGATCCCTGAGCACATTAGTTTCTGACTCTTAAACCCAACTCTGAAATAATAGGGCTTCTATTGTTGATAACAAGATGGATTGTCATTCACAGTTAAGTCAATCATAAGGTGCTTATTTATTTACCCTTTTTGTCACCAATCAGCACAAAGAACTGTCAGAAAATAACTTTTATTTCTCTTTTTAAATAAAAGAAGGGCACAAAATGATTAAACAATTAATTTTTATGACAGTGGCTTTAGGATTATTATCTGGCTGCCCCTCGACAACAAACAAGTGATTCAATCGACATTCCTTAAGAAAAAAAAAAGTAAAAAAAATCCTGTACAAATATGTATTTTTCCCTGAGGGATAAGGTTACACCCGCAAGTGCTTTATGTACATATTGCACTATAGAGGAATGAAGAACATGTGCAAAAAAGCAACAATGATCAAAGCTTACTAATCAATCCTTGTAATCATGATTCTGCTATGTCGTCTCGCATTTTGGAATGTCGTAACACAAATAGCTATATTCCTTTCATTAAAAACTTTAAAAAAAAGGAGGAAATAAAACAACCCCCCCCCCGACACCTCTACTATGGCACATTCAATGAAATAAAAAGTTTTCCAAAGACAAATAGACAAATTCCATCAACAAAATAATACAAAGTTCGTTCATTTGTTTTTTGTTTTTGTTTTTTAGAAAAATTACATTACTTTCTTTCATTGTTTCACATTACAAAATCTTTTTTTTTAATCTTTACACAAATCACATTTTATTGCAGGAATATTTCAAGTGCCATCAAATATTTATAGAAGGGTTAAAAAAATAGAAGTCTCTCTAAAGTGGTCCAGACAAGGCTTTGTATAGAATAAATCTTTTTTCCACCTTCTATTTTTGAGTTAAGTATTTTGAATACATTTTTTTTATTCCACTGACACTGAACAGCCTAGAAGCAGACGCACACACATTCATGCATGCGTGCACACACGCACACACACACACTCAGACCTTGGTATCCATACTATGATACATAAGTTTTATAAAGAAAAACCAAACTTAAAAACAGCATCTCACATCACCTCATCCAATAGTTATTAAAAAGATGAACAGTATCAGTCACAAAAGTACACCAGAGTGGCCCAACTGATGCTGTACAGTAGTACCTCTTCTATAAGAAAGCTTGAGAATGTTTCTGTGCCTTAGAACAGAAAACTGGATAGATGCCAACAACCCAAGACAATTTCTTTACAAATTATAAGGAACAGCTCACTTAAGAGGAATAATTATTCCAATATCTTCAGCTATTCTCTGTAATTTCACATTTTTTTTTGTGTGGTTGTGAGTTGGGAAGACTCTGAAAGTTTCATACATCTGACATTCATTCACGGAGCATGAATGTGTATTTCAACTTGATATACTGCTGAACTTCTGGTCTTAGGCCCTACTCTCAGATGTTCTTAACAGACATAAGTCATCTGCCAATGTCCTGTTCCTATACTGTCGATTCATTATGATTAGCTATATTTTTAGAATCATTCAACATCCCCTCACAAAAAGGCTCTTTGGCAGCAGTAGTCTTTAAGTACATCTACCGCCCTGTTATCCTCAGAAAAAAAATCTGCCATCACTAATGGCCTGATTTTACAAGGTGCTGAGCACTCAGCAGCTCCCACTAAAGACAGTGAGAGCTACGAAAATCAGACCACAAGTTATTCGGCTTTCAGTTAGGCCTCTACTTGGCTTCTGGTGCAAACATAATTGCTCCTGCAATTTTGTGTTCCCAATGAGTTGCATCTAGTAGCTAGATGTCAAACATACCATCTGTTTGCACTCACAGACCAGGTAAAGTACTGTTTACCAGAAAAAAAAGAACAAGGTAATGACTGAGAAAAAGGCCCAAAATATTTAGCATGGTTACCTTACTTCCTGTCAAAAACAGGGTTTGTCTCTCACTCTCTGGAAAAGATCAAGTCTTACATAGCTATCCATTAGCTGACACTGGAATTAAGTTTAGTTGATCTTTAAGGGGCTAGCACCTGAGGCTGGTCACATTCAGAAATCTTTTGTTAGTAAAACGTCTGCTTTAAAACTAAATCCACAAATACAAAGATCAGAATGGAAATGCCACATCAGGCTAGTTATTCCAATAAAGTAAACAATGATTCCAGAAAACGCAAACTAATAAGAACTGAGAGATATATTTGACTGTTTTTAGCAGGGAGATTTTTCTGGGTCATTTTAAAGATTAGGGTCTCAATCCAAAGCTCCTTGCACTGACTGTAAGGGGCTCTGGATTGAATCCTGGATGGTGAATGACCCTTGTTGGGGGCATGCAGGAGGGAATGAAGGGCGTACGCCATACTCCTCCATGCTCTTTGACTATGCCCACTCATAACTCCAGCCTTTGCATTCATGAAAGTACAGGGACTTCTCCCTAAGTCTCCATGGGCACATCACTGTGAAGCAGTGTAGAGAAGGTGAAGCATTGTCCCATCTCCGTCAGCTAACAGAGCAGGGCAGGGACACTAGGGAGCAGACTGTGCCATCAGAGGCACAATCCATTAGAGCAGTGTTTCCCAAACTTGGGACGCCGCTTGTGTAGGGAAAGCCCCTGGCAGGCAGGACAGGTTTGTTTACCTGTCGCGTCCGCAGGTTCGGCTGGAAGCGGCGGCCAGTACCTCCCTCGGCCCATGCCGCTTCCAGCAGCTTCCATTGGCCCGGAGTGGCGAACTGCGGCCAGTGGGAGCCGTGATCAGCCGGACCTACGGACGCGGCAGGTAAACAAACCGGCCTGGCCCGCCAGGGGCTTTCCCTACACAAGTGGCGTTCCAAGTTTGGGAAACACTGCATTAGAGTGTAGCAGCTCCATACAGACCTCAGTGTGGGTCACTGGTTAAATGCAACAATTCAAGCCTAAGTGAGAGATGTTCAAATTATAAAAAAGGGAGCACTTTGGGGGGGGGGGGGAGGGATAACTCAGTGGTTTGAGCATTGGCCTGCTAAACCCAGGGTTGTGAGTTCAATCCTTGAGGGGGGGCCATTTGGGGATTTAGTTGGGGATTGATCCTGCTTTGAGCAGGGGGTTGGACTAGATGATCTCCTGAGGTCCCTTCCAACCCTAATAATCTTTTTTTTATGGGTTATTTTGCCCATAATAACCCATTATCCTAATTCTCCCCTTACAACAGTTTTACATCAGTGTAGCTCCATCTCCTCCAATTACTCCTCAGTTAACACAGTGTGAGAGGAGCATTAGGCCCCATAGATTTGAAGAGACACAGTCAACTTGAAAATCATCTGTCTTGAGGGGTTTTTTTCATAATAGTTACTTACAACAACTACAGTGACTATAAATGAAATGTTAGTGAAAAAATATTCCTCTGTCTTATTAGTTTACTTTGTCTATATACAAAAAATGGTCAAATGCACAATTTCACTGTTTTCCAAAGTTTCTACTTTGCTGAAAAGGCCCTTATTAACCTCAATGAACAGAGAAGCATAAAAACCTTACAAATTTTAATAAAACAACAACAGGCAATGCTATTTTAAAATGTACTCTATAAAAAATGAATTTGAAAGACAAAAAACTTAATTTTGTTAACATTCAAGTTGGCAGTGTCCCTTTAACACAACGTGTTGAAATGACTGCTATTAATTGTTAAAGTGCTGAGGCTCCAATTTGTCCAGGTAAATATACCATTACTGCCATTTCGGTTTTAAAGAAAAAAAGGATTAAGTAGATTTACCTGGGAAGTTATTTAGGTATTTTATATATATACACACACACACTTTACCACACAGATTAGTCACACATCAAAATCTTTTATTTAAATCGCTCTCCCTATCTCCTTCCTACACTAAAAAGAAAAAAAAGTGATCATAGGAAAAGGAGCAGGGTCTGGATGGGTAGTGTAAAAACAATTACAACGTGATCTTATACTAACACCACCCTTAGAAAATAAAGTTATTCATATTTTGGAGCACCTCATAAGGTCTTTGGGGCATGAGCTGCCTTTATTATATCTTTCTACAGTGCCTAGCAGAATATGGTGATAGCCCTGAGGTGCTACTCCAATATGTTAACAATAACTTTGAGAAACTGTCTATATGGAAAAATGCAAAGTTTCACTTTGCTCCCATGTAGCCCCAATTCAACATCCCAGTTGCTTCCAATTCAAAGGGGGCGGTTCCAGCTTTGCAGTGACTGTTAAATTCCATTTCAGGCAAGCCACAGCTGCATAACACTTCTGACATGGGCGTAGACAACCGGGGACTAAACATTTAGGGATTGCATTAATAAAGAAAGAAAACTGAATTTTGAACAGATTGTACATCTCACTTTATAATAAGTGGATAAATTTAGTCCAAAATGACTCATTAAAGTGATATTCAGTGGGTATATTATGATATTTTATCTCTGGCTACCCATATATAACAGAAATTGTCTACACTCCTGTCAGGCTTCATCTAATCTCAGAAGTACCATGGGAATGACACTGAGGCAGAAACGGGCTTTCCATTGGCTGACTGAGGGCAGAGTTAGCCGAAGAAGAATTCCTGGATTAACATTCTGGTTCAATTGAGCTGGAAGATCAGGCTGCAACCCTAAAACTACTCTTCCAAATAAATATGGGGAGGGCTCCCTTCTCGTCCAAGCTAGATAACTTATCCTTAATGTTGTTTAATATGGCTCTCTCATTCAGAATTAGTTTAATATTTTTAAATCTGACTTTTCTTCTCCTTTGGGACAAAATTCTGCCATCCATATTCAGGCAAAACTCCTCGTAAAGGGAATGGTAATTTGCATAAGTAAAGACTGCAAACTTTGGCCCCTTATTAGTTTAATGCATGGATCACAATCATTTTTGGAATTACACAACATAGGTTTATCATCTTACTGCTCATTCTATAGTCCACTCTCATGATTTCCAGGCTTTATGTAGAATATAAAATGCCTGCTTTCTATCAAAAGGATTGTGCCTTTATTTTATCAGTTTGCACTTATTTGATAAGCCTTAGAGAGTGCTTCTTTCCAAATAAACCTAGCTGTTTCTAGAGCCATACATATGTGCTCTAAAAGCAAAGGACTTCTCTGTTGTGCTGTGCTGGATAAAATTGCTGGATCTTGGAAAACAGCCTGCTGAAGTCAGTAACAAAATTCTCAGTGACGTCAATGGGACTAGGCTTTTGCTTTAAGTGCATTGTTTACCATGTGGAGTTTAAAAGTATGTAACAGTGTATATAACATACACAAATTGTTTTGTGTCTATATTACACTCTGGTCAACATTTTCAAACATGGGTTCATAGGGTTGGGCATCCATACCCATATTTATACACCACAATTAATGGCCCAATTTTCAAGGGTGCTTCACACTTGCAGCTGTGATTGACTTGCAGATGCTCAGCAAATTTTTGGCTGTGGGTGCTTGGCACTTTTGAAAATCAGGGTTTTTTATTTCAGAGTCTAAATATGGATTTAGACGTGCAATTTTAAACACCCAGATTTGAAACTTTTGGGTTGTGTATAAAAATAAAAGCACCCTTTAAAAAGCATCTGAAAAGCTAATTTGATTTTAGAAAATTTTCATCGTTTTCAGACTCTAAAAATCAATGTAATCTTTTCAGGATGTGACCAGCCTCTCTTGAAAAGTAATGTTGAAAACAGCAGCATAAATACCTTCTAATGTATCAGTACCTTCCAAACCTTTTCAGTTAAACTTGAATTTCTGGTGCACATGCAACACGACAATGAACACGCTAGCATTTAATTTAAAGAAAAAGGTGCAAAATGAAAGTGCCTTATCAATTCAACAAGAAAAGCTATACCAGTAACTACTTTTTATATTAATTAAAACAATATATAAACAATATCTCTTTTGCTATATATAGTCTTCATGCCCATTTACCCTGTAATATATTATAATGCTATTGTTGCTATTGCTATGGACCCTTTTCGTGCCATTCTGCCTACTGGCAATCAATGGTAGATGAAAAAATTCGTCCTTCATGAAACAATGAGCAAGTTGTGCAAACTGATGCTGAAACCTCTGCAGTACACACCAGTCGCTGGACTCTGCTGTGATCAACAAATTGATTGTTCTGTTGAAAGTCTGTGGGCAGTGAACTACAAGGAAAAAGAAACCTTCTGAGTTTAGTACCCTCATTCTGTGTAAACAGAGGTCAAAGATTGAGAAGTCGAGACAGAAAAAGGGTCCATATTTGTAGGCATAATGGAAATCATATGCATGAGAAAAACAAGTTCAACTTTGTTTCATTGTTTCCCATCCTTTGCCTGACCCCGACTGCCAAAAGATGTGCAGTGTGTTGGCTCCCTAGGTCTGTGCAGGGCCATATAAAGTGTCTTGGTTTTCTTTTTTTTTCTTTATTTTTAATGTTTGTACTTCAGACATTCTAGAAGTGCTTAGGTGATATATTTACCCATCAATTTGCATTGCTGGCTCAAATTCTGAAGTGAACAACTCCTTGTACAATGGAGGAAAATGAAGTCGCACAATGTCTGGGTATATTGCTTTAAATGCCATAAGTTTTTCTGTATGTCGTCCACACAGTGCTCTTAAAGTAGACACTTTGCATATTAACTGGGGAAAAAAAACACAAGAAAAATACAGTCATACACAAAACAGGCTCTCTTCTCTGCTGATTTTGCTTTTAGGATCAACCACTTCTAGTTTACCTTGATTGTTTTCCTTAAAGATGAATTTTAGCAGCTTAAAGATGCACTTGCTTGTTTGATTCAAAGAGAGGAAATCATTAAACAGCAGGGATTTTTTGGGGCCTAATTCCATTTCTGTAGTAGGGCTGAAATAGTAACCTGTGTGGCAGAAACATTCACTGGGGTAGTTGGGGGAACAGAGAGGGAAGGTATAAAGAGAGGAGACACTTGTCGGCTTTTCATGAAGCTCAAAGTTAAAATTACATTTCTCTAACCCCTCTAGTTCTCTCTGCCCTCTACCTCAACCTTTTCTTTCCCCTTCTGGGTTCTGTTAGGAAGTGGTTGAAACTAGGCAGGCTGGATTTTGAACAAGCAAGTCTAGAAAAGGAGAGGGATGCAAAGGACCGATGAGAGCTGTTAGTCAGACAGTAATTATGCTGCTGTTACTAATGTAGAATGCTTTCATGTTCAGAGGATAAGGCACAGTTTTTGGTGCTCACCTTTGTTAGAATTCCATCTTCTCGGTGATTCTTCTGCAGGACATGCTGAAGTGCTAGCTGAATCTTCTGTTGGAGTTTTTCGATTTTTACCTTCTCCTGAAGCCATGAACGATCTAAATGTAAAGGAAGTGAATATTTCTGGTATTGCACACTGGCATCACAATATGCAAAGAAATGTTCTTAGAGCCTATGCTACATTCATCTTTCCTGTTGCCAACCTCCCTTCCATTCCAATGGAGTTTTATACAGGAAGTATAAGAGGATCTCAGCAAGCTTGAACCATATTTGTTAATGTGTCACATGCTAATAAGACTGTATTACAAAATTAAGCTAGCAATATTTTCATCCTGGAGACGATGATATTATGTAATGAATGACTAACCAAAGGATCTTTGTTGCAATTTTTTCTTTTTGATGCACAGAAAACAATAGAAACAAATAGTTTTAAGAAAAGCATATTTAAAAGAAATCGTTCCTGTGCACTTCTTGGCAAACAAGGAGCATTATATCTGACATCGCTAAGGTGGCAGAACCAAACAATTCTGTGGTTCTTGCACTAAGAAAACATAACACTAAATACTCTTGAGCTGCCAAATGGCATGATAATGTAGCTACCATTCTGCAAATCAGGGGACACCTGCCACCCTTATTCACATGGTAATACCTTGCTCCTCGAGGAGATCCATTAGTTTCAATGGGACTACTCAACACAGACTAAGGGCAACAAAATGTGGGTATATTAGGATGAATCGTTTGAGCAAAATTACCCTAGCACCCACCTTTAAATATATTTGTTAAAGTAAAATCCAGAGTAGGAAATGATTAGGGAAGGGGCATACAAGAAGGTGATTACATTACATGCTTACGGGTTGCCTACCAGATTATCATTGAGGCATACTCCATAATAAAAGAATCACTAGATTCCATCAAACAAATGTAGAGTGATATTTTACATCTTACCTGCAGACATTAAAACAAATGCAGAAAACAAAGCAATCTCATCTTCTGTCAGGTGCATAGAACATAAGCTCTTTCCAAATTCAAACACAAAACTAATGAAGTCTTCACAACCTGCCAAAAGGAAGGTACGTATCATTCAGGATTTCTGATGAGACTGCTTCAAAGTGATGGGACAGTTATTTTACTCTGAGGGCGGAGGCTAATGGATGTGAAATACCTACAAGACCAAGGCTCCTCTCTTTAAAGAAGTATGGATTGGTGGTAGTTGCATCATAAAGTTGAAGCTAGTAGCCCATTATGAGCCATTTTTATACACCTCCAACTTTCCCCAATCTTCCTGAAGTTTTGTATCTTTTTCTGGTAAATTTGGTGAAAAGAAGATCATTTTATAACTTAAAGTCATTTCATAGACATAAACTACCACTACACTTGCCAAATATCTAAAAAATTTTGGCCTGACTTGATCTCCAAATGACTTGGCCTAAAAATTTAAAATTGGTTTTGTTTTATTGACGAAGGAAGTGCCTTTGGTATTTTGGGGAGGGGGTGCAGGAAAATGCATAAGGAGTTGTTTTAAAGTGTATCAAGAGCAACTGTACTATATATGTTCATAAAAATAAAATGACCTCCATCTGACTCCAGCTGCTGGGTAGTGCCAGAGGGTGAGGCAGGAAAAGGAGGAAGGAAGAGAGAGGAGACCCGAGGGGGGGGGGGGGAAATAGGGGGGGATAGCAGTATGGGAAAAATCATGGATATAATGGGTTGGGGACCTAGCGGACATGAACTGGGGTAGGCGTGGCTCCCAGCCTCAAAATGGGACTAGCTCTAGAAGATCCAAGAGGAGGAGGAACATGCAGAGGAGACAGGACACTAATGGGGCAGGAAAATAGTGATGAAGTGGAGTGCAGGCGAACCCAAAAACATAGAGGGCAAATGAAATAGGATGAAGGAGATAGCCATGGAAGAAGGTGCAGGGAACTGAGGGAGGCATGTATGGGTGTATGCACAGGGAACATACGGAAAGAGAGGAGGACAGGGAAAAGCAGAGTGCTGCAAGATTTTAATGTGGATAGGCGCCTCTCCATCTCTTCTTCCTTTCCCTTCCACCCCCATATGCCATGCAGGTATAACTCAGATTACCACCACTATCATACATGCTTCCTACAATCTGCAGGAGGGGAGCCCCGCTTTAGAGGGCCTTGGAAGATTTGTTGGAACAGGGCTTTCCCCTGCAGTCTTATACACCAACCTGATTTAGAGTTTTTTGATGCTCATGGAGAACAAATTTAAAAGGTTAAAGTTGAAAGTATATTTCAGTGGAGTCCAGCTAGAAGCCCACATACAATATTACTATCTGAACTGTTCATGTCCATACTTTGTACCTTTGGGCATTTTAAATAGGTGCAGAATATCTGTAAAATGATACGGCCAGTTCTTCACTGCCATTTTATCCTTCAGCACTCTATGTTATCTTATCCAGTTTACACCCCATATACAAACTTAATAGTATCTCTCAGATAAAATTGACAAAAATATACACAAAAGGTCAAAATGGCAAATTACTGGGAAATTGAAAAAAAATCCATTTTTTATTCAAGTGATCTACTGCCAATAATCCCCAGCAATGTTATTTTCATCTTTGTGTATATATGTCCTTGAAAGATTAAAAAGAAGACCGGCAGCTTTGGAAGGATAACATTGTGGTGTCCAAATTCACCCAAGAACCTGCTTTTCTGTATAGTTAGAATATAGCAAATATTACTCCAGTTATCAAATCTGGGTGCCTAAACTGGATGCATATTCAAATTAGTACTGACCTGTTTAAAACAGGTATCTGGGTGCCTGATCTGAACACCAAGGCCCAATTCTGCATTCTGTTACATGATTTCAATTTCCATTGAACTCAACTGGTCCCCAAATTTAGTCAGCCAACTTTAAGAAGTGGACCCATATATAGTACTTTACATAATAAGCAATCCAAGACTATCTAGATTTTGAGTTACCTTTAAACTTTTCCCTTTGTATACCTAACACAGTGTTTAAGTCCCAGTTTATTTTTTGTATATGGTCCGCTTTCAGTTTCTAACCTCTTTTCTACTTGTTTTTATACAGAGTACTTGAAATTTTCTTACCTAGTGACTTGAAAACATCTGGGCTAGCGTACTTGCCGTCAAAGTACACTGTGTTGTTTTGGGAGTCAAAGGCACGGCACATTCTGATAAACACAACCTCTAAAGATCCTAAATGCAAACAATACCCAGATTTGATTATTTTAATAGGGATTTCAGTTACAAAGAGCAAAATGGAAGAACTTTTAAAAAAGGGATTTTAAAATGTAATATAGACTGCATTCAATATAGGTCCAGTACTGTAGTGGTTCTGCAATTATAACTGAGAATGGTTTGATTTGCCATGAGCATTAAAAGAAATCTCTAAAGTTAGTTATATCAGAATAAATCCAGTGTACCTCCACTGAAGTCAAGGCAATTAAATTGGATTTACACTGGTGAACATATAAGAACTTAACCATTTATTTGTAAACCACGTCATTTCTATAATACCTTCCCTATAACAAAGTCTGAACTTTTACCTGGAAAAACAAATCAGAACAAATCAGAAATCTATTTTATGTGCTCGACCCAGTCATTTGTACCCACTCAATACTTCCACTGTTTCTAATGGAAGCTCCACACAGATACATACATACGCTTCCATCCAGAACATCTAAGATGAACACATGTATCCAAGGAAAGAGCTATAAACCTTGTTAGGTTGTACTGAAAGAAACACAAGGAAATATCTGAAGTCAAAACTGGCTTCAATCATTTTACTTACATAGCATTTCCCTGGGTTAAAAGCTCGTTAGAAGCAGGCCTCAGAATTCACCAACATACCTGCTTTTAAAAGCACGATTTGATCATTTTGACACAGTTCCATAAAGCCATCAATGCGTTTGGCAAACTCCACGACATACTGTATAGCTTCTGTTATTTTGACTGCACATAACTGCCACATTACCTCCCTCTGCTGTTGAAGAGAAAGGGATAAATCACTATTCAAGCTTGTGTAAGCTCCTTTTCATAAAGGAAAATGAAGTTGAAAAGCAAAGCAGAGCCCCCAAACCTCGCCAGCGTTCATGAGTATAATTTAGGAGGTGGAGAGGGTAAACGAGCTTCTTAGAGGCATATGTATACGTGCAGCACTCATTTACTGTTGGCCGTAAGATCTAGGCTGGGACTTCTTGTCTCAAGAGACAAATTCTCCCCTCAGAAGCCTGGGTACTGCTTCCAATGATTTACACTGGATTTGTATGCGTGCAACAGAAGGCAGAACTGGACCCAACAGACATAACTAAGCTCTCAAAAGTAATTCCATGCTTCTTACCAAGTACTCTGTTTCCTACTGAATTTAAATCAAATAACAAGGGGATCTTAAAATATATATAATCCCATATTATTTATGGTATTGGTAACCAGTCATTTGCACCACAAGCGTCGCAATAATTTAGAATGAAACTACCTATGTAGTGTAAAAACTGGGACTTTTTAATACAACAGACATGCTGCAGAGAACACAAGAAATATTTATCTAAACAGAAGTGGGTTTAATAGTACTTCCCAAGAACTGTTTCACTAGTAAGTGCTTTGTGACATTCAGATGGAAGGTGCTATGGAAATACAAACGCTAATTACGCATCACAAAACCCCTTTGAGGAGGACAGCATTGTGCTACCCACTGTACAGGTACACCGAGGCACTGTGAAATTAAGTGACTTGCCCACAGTTGCAGAGTGACTCAAAGGCAAAACTGTAAACAGAAACCAGGAATCCTTACACCCAGTTCTAGGATTTTAATCTCCAAACAGAAATGCACTATCTTAAATAACAATTAAATAACAATTAACCCTCCGCATTACATATTAAGCAGCCAGTGCAATTTAGGAGCCAGATTACAGCATGGCCCTATATTGTCATGCAGGAATGAAAACAGGAATAAGACACTTCATTCCCTGGTGCAGCCTCCTTGCACTGTGGCTGGAAGTGCAAAGCATTGGGTAATCCTTCCCTTCCCACACCCATCAAATGGTGGGCAGAGCCTCTGCTGCACTTCCCAAAACTCTGGCCAGTGCAGCTGAGCTGGCAGAAGGGTTGAGTCCTTTACCAAGAGTAAAAGTTTCTTTAGCCATATAAATAAAAAGAAAACAAAGGGAAAAAAGTGGGACCACTAAGCACTGAGGATGGGGTAGAGATTAAAGAATTTAGATTTGACCCAACACCTAAATTAATGCTTTGCCTTAGTTTTTAACATGGGTAATGGAGGAGCTTGGGGGCAGTGGCAGGGTGGCTAATGGGAACAAGGATTTGGAAGTAGCATCTACCACATGTGAGATGGCAGGCAAACTCAAACAGCTTAATGGGACCATATTGCGTAGCCCAGATAATCTCCATCCAAGAATATTAAAGGAACTGGCACATGAAATTGCAAGCCGAATAGCAAGGAATTTTAATCAGTCTGTAAACTTGGGAGCAATACCCTATGACTGGAGAATTGGAAGTACAGTACCTATATTTGAGAAAGGGAAAAAAAAGTGATCTGGGAAACTACAGGCCAGTTAGTTTGACCTCAATTATATGCAAGGTCTTGGAACAAATTTTGAAAGAGAGAGTAGTTAAGGACATACAGGTAAACAGTAATTGGGATAAAATACAACATGGGTTTACAAAAGGTAGATTGTGCCAGACCAATCCAATCTCTTTCTTTGAGAAGATAACTAATTTTCGAGACAAAGGAACTGCAATAGATCGAATCTACCTGGATTGCAGTAGAGCATTTGATGCAGTTCCACATGGGAAATTATTAAACTGGAGAAGATGAAGATTAATACAAGAATCAAAAGGTGGGTAAGGAACTGATTAAAGGGGAGACTACAATGAGTCGTGCTGAAAGATGAACTGTCAGGCTAGAAAGAGGTTACTAGTTGAGTTCCTCAGGGATTGGTCTTGGGACTGATATTATTTAACATTTTCATTAATGATCTTGGCAAAAAAAAGTGGAAATGAGCTAATAAAATTTGCAGATGACACAAAGTTGGGAGGTATTGCCAATATGGAGGAGGATCAGAATATCATACAAGAAGATTTGGATGACCTAGAAAACAGAAGTAATAGAAATGGGATGAAATTTAATAGTGTGAAGTGCAAGGTCATTTACTTAGGGACTAACAACAACAATTTTTGCTGTAAGCTGAGGATGTATCAGCTGGAAGCAACAGAGGAGGAGAATGACCAATATAGCAAGTCTATCACAGTATGATTATCAGACGTGATTATGAAAAAGGCTAATGCGATCCTAGGATGCATCAGCCAAGGTATTTCCAGTAGAGATAGGGAAGTGTTATTACCATTATACAAGGCACTGTTGAGACCTCATCTAGAATACTAAGTCCAGTTCTGGTCTCCCATGTTTAAGAAAGATGAATTCAAACTGGAACAGATGCAGAGAAGGACTACAGGATGCTCAGAAGAATGAAGAATCTACCTTACGCGAGGAGACTTCAGGAGCTTGCAGGAGGTCAGACTAGGTGATCATGATGGTGCCTTCTGGCTGCACAGTCTATGAGTATTATACTACTGGTTAGGGCTAGAAGTAGAATGATTGTCCCCTAAGCTCATGGGAGTGCAGGTACTGCTCCCTCTCTGCATCCATGGGAGCTCACATCCCTCTCAAAGGGGCAGGGGGATGGCCATGACTCCCTCTCCACATGGAGCTGTACAGGGTTTGTGCAGTCTGTGCACCCACCATGCAGGCAGAGATGGGGTTTGTCCCCAAGCGCGAGGAGCAGGAATGGAAGAATGACTCAGAAAGCCAGTGTCAGGAATGAGGGCCTACAGCAGAGCTAGTCTCGAGCCCCCACTCCCCCCATCAGTACAGCTGGCCTGCAGCAGGCTGCTTGATTAGCCACGCAACCTGATCGACTGTCGAGGCTGGCTTCTAAGCCAGCAGCAGCAGCTCCTCGCTGACTTTGCAATGCTCATGCCCACAACTGTGCCTGCTCCTGTGTTACATGGTTCCTGCTGCTCCTGTCTTGCACCTAGTCTTGCCTGAGACTCCAGTTCCTGCTCCAGTTCTTGCCCTCTGATTTGACCCTTGGCTCTGGCTTCTGACTACAGGCTCCAGCTTGACCCTGGCTACTGATTACAGTTCTGACCCTGAACACTAAGCCTGCCGCCTTCTCCAACAATTAGACTAGACTGCCCTCATTCCAGTTGGCTGATAGTCAGTTTCTTCCCAAGATTTCTCCCAGGGCAGCATAACTGTACATCTCCCCTTACACAAGGCAGGGACCAAATGCATAAATAAAAAATACATATAAAATGCACAAATACTCCAAAACACATACACTAAAAGAGAATCCGGGAAAGCAGCAATGTTGAAATGGACCCAAGGGTAATATCAAATTGCACATCAGTTTGCATGTAGGCTGTTGATTGAGCCTGACCCAGCTAACCTTTTATCCGAACCTCAGCTTTATTAACAGTATTGCCAGCTTTCAAGATTTTAACAGTAGTCTCATGATATTTGATACATTTCTTAAAGCACTAGCTCCTGGAGTCAGGCCATTCTAAGAGAATCTCAGATCTCATTTAAAAAAAGAAAGTTTCCACCCCTCCAGGTTGTGGAGAAAAGCTTGAAAACATGAAAATGAAACATTCAAAAACCAGAAGAAAAATACCAAGACCCAAATCTTATGGTTTTTCAACTAAATTCATGATTTTTTGGGACCTGACTCATGATGTTTGAGCACTTGGGATTTGAAATACAGCATTAAGATACTAGGCCATTTATTGATACAGATTGATGTCAACATAAGGAAGACAACACAGCCCACATGTCCTCATATATATGTTCAGCAGTATGACATGGGTGACAAGAACCTGGGGTTTCTGAGTCTGGCCCTTCTAGTTTTTCTTAATCTTAAGGATTTTTGGTGCCTGGGTACACTACAAATTAAACAACAGAAATGTAAACAGGACCTAGCTGTAGGGAGCACTCATTTCACTAATCCAGAGACTCATTCTACCATTTAGGAGTGGTACTCACTGGCTCTGTCTTTCTAACCCTTCTTCTTTAAGCACAGGTAACCAGGAGTATGTGCCACACCTGTAAAAACCCCACATGCGAGATCCAGAGAAATCACTACCCACTTGCGATTTTTCATTCCAGCTTATTACTAGTGACAAGTTAAAGGTGCAGGGCACATACTTCTCTCCTGCATACAAACCAACCAAAATTTCCTACTGGAAATAGAAAAAAATTGAAAACACTGAATTTAACAGTTAACAGAATGTTATAAGATTAACAGCTTTAAAAAACCCGAGAAGGTCTAAAGACGGTATTTTATTATACCTTGTTCTGGTAGTTCTCAATTTCTTCCTGCAGAAAAGTCTGCCATGTTATCTGCTGTAGCTCTTCTCTCAAGTACTGGCAAGTTTCCATGTGTGACTTTGAAATATTCTGTGCAAGATGTTCTAGAAGGAAGAGCAAGAAGTGGCATGCATTAAAAGAGCAAAGCTATCCCTGTGTGATTTCTGTCCAGCAGAAGAGTGAACTGCAGAAATTACGATTAGAAACTTTAGTTATTATGAAAAGAACCTTAATCTATTTTCTGATAGTTTCAATAGCTCCTTGGATTATCCTTTTGAAAAATATTTTAGGACGTTTGCAAAAAGATACAAGTAAAGAAAAAAAATCCTGGTCCCTAAGGGTATGTCTATACTGGAGCTGGGAGCAGTGTGGATGTTGTGGCAGCGAAGCAGCTCAGGCTAGCCACCTGAGCTTGGACCAAGGGGGTTGGGCAGACTTGGGACACAGGTGACCACCCCGAGCCCCAGTCCTTGCTGCAACATCCACACTTCTATTTTTAGTGCGCTAGCTCAAGCAGAGCTAGTGCGAGTCTGTCTACCTGGGCTGGGAGGCATGCTCCCCGCTGCAGCGTAGACATACTGTAAGGGGCTATTTATACTGCACCTGGAGGTGTGATTGCAGCACATGTAGATATACCCAAGCTAGCTTTAATCTAGCTAGTCCAGACACCAATAACAGTTGAACCATAGCAGCATGGACTTTAGTGCGGGCTAGCCACCTGAGTAAGTGGGCTGCTGCAGCTTACTGCTATTGGTATCCAAACTAGCTAGATTAAATCACCCTGATTTAAATTAAATTAAAATACTCCTGCAGTGTATACATACCTAATAGCTCTGAGAGTGTTCCCACAGTGGTCGGAGACCATCCAGTAGAGGGCAGTGTACACTCATTTACGTATGTTACTGGTTCACAAGTGCAGCTATAGGAAATTTTCAATAATGAACAAAAACTGGTAGATTTGCTCTGTTATTAGTTCATTACCAACTTAAAGCTTAGTTAAGATGTCTGGGTGAACCTGGGCTGAAGTAGGCATATTGAGATTTGAGAGAAACAGTTCCTCTCTCCAGGAGCAATGATTGCCAAATAGGTTTTAAGGGAGGAAAACCCATCTGAAACTATGTAAAGGTAAAGCTCCGTGGAAACTTGAGAAAGCCTTGTGATCGGCAAACTCACAGTTTCACCTTGCTCTCGATGTAATGTACTGTACTAGCTGATGGTCTTGGTGTTTTTACTGAGATGGAAACCTGCCTGGGGAACTGGGCAAAAAACTAAACTCCTTACTAGGAGCCACAGAAGAGTGGCCCAGGAGTCAATGGGCCCATCAGTTTAGGGTGGAGGCACATTAGTGGAGGTGGGGTGATGACAGCCCTGCTGGTGCTGTAAGCTGCTTCATGAATAAACAGCATTTCTCGCCAGGGCTGTCAAACCGGCATAGAACTAAATCCATGAACATTTGAAATAAGAGAAATGTTTTCTTTAAAAAGGAATGTAAGGTATAGAGGACCCATCCTGCGAGATATCAGCTGGGACACTGTATCATAGAGGCTGCCTCCTTGGCAAGTTTCTTTTCTCTAGGTATGATTTTTTAAATATAAATCTTGGTAGAGAATACACTTTTTAGGGAACCAAGATAAAAAATTATACAAATGATGTCTCAAATTTTCCTTAGTTTTAAAGTAGTAGTGTAGTCATTTAAACGTGATGGAGGTTTACATACAATATATTCATTCTAGAGGCCATCCTTCTTTTGCCAATATGCTTTGTTAAAACACATCTGAATGGCTTATCAATAACTAATTTGTACATATTTGGGAGGAGGTTTTTCAAAGGCAGACGCCTAAAAAATGTGCCCTTAGACGTGCAACCTACCTCCCTGCCCATCCTTATTTAAGCACATAGAAACAGATCTATCAAAGAGCAAAATCCTGGTCCCCCTACTTGCACAGTTCTGCAATCAGTGCTTTCTCTGGCTAAACCACCATGAACCTCTGGCCCTAAAATGATCTGAATGGTCATCCATAACTCCCCTTTTAAGGGCCCTTGAGTCAGCTTTTCTGTGAAAGCTGTGTTTCTTTGTTTGAAAAATTCTTTAAATAATAAACTCACACCACAAAACAGGTTGTTTCACATCATGCTAAATGGACTAATTGAAGCCCTTTCTCAAGAGCAAGAAAATTCAATAAAGGTTTAAATTACAACCTTCAATAAAAGCTGATCATATGCACCATCTAAATTACACAACATAGGGTATAAAGTGGTTGTTGCGACCACAGCTTTCATATGCTCCAGCAGCAATTTCATACATATATACCCTTAAAAACAACATTAGAACCTAGTCACAACATCTGACAGCTCGGGGAGGGGGATGTATTTGCAAGATACACTGGGCTAGATTTGATAGAGGGGCTAAGCACAAATCTAGGCCTCAGTTCAGGAAAGTATTTAATCACGTGCTTACATACTTTTGTGAACAGGGACCCTAGATTGGAAAATACTTAAATATGGTTATTACAGTGTTTGGCCCTGTCCATGTTGGCCAGACAAACCATATTACAAACCAGTTTAAAAGATAAGTAAAGTAATAAACCACTACTTTAAGCCAGGCTCCAAACTCAGCATCTCACTTAGGATGAGCTAGCCTTCAATTCCCTTGCCTTTGTCGGGTTATCCTTTAATAATCACCCATGAAAACACACACACAAAACCGTTTGACTGAGACAAAGCTGCTGGCATAACCTTTATTTTCAGATTTCTTCTTCTCATTTTTACTTATCTAAGACTCAAATTATTTGAATTGAAACAGGGACATAATCCTCTGGTTGTAATGTCACAACAAACTGCGCTGCAGAGAACTGGATTCCACAAGCAGAGGAGGAGGACTTCAAACAGGAGTAACAAAAAACCTGTTTTCATGCAAGATGTCCCTATTAAGAAAAATAGGGAGGGGGAAATCAAACTTGTGTTATGCTGATTTGTCAAAGAATATGATATTTTCCAAATAGACTGTTTTACTTTTAGTGATGTTGTAAATGAGTATTTAGCATGAATGTTACAGAAATAAACAAAACAGGTATTTTAAAACCACTGGTTGCTCAATTAAGCAAACCGGGATTTAAAAAACACTTGTGTAATGCTGGCAAACCACCTTACAGAGCCCTTCTTAAGACACGTCACTAAAGTACGTTTGTGGAGTTCAGTACTCAAGAAGACATTCAGGGAGAAAAATGTAGGGCAGAACATGCTAAGTAAAGCTGTCGTTATAAGGGCCCTAGGGAAATTAACAGAACTTCCTAGAATTCATTCCCTAATGAATTTGGGACCAGATTCTCCTCTACTTCATACTTTCTGGAGTCACCTGAGTAAACTGGGTATAAAAAGCCATCAAATTAGAATAGCATTCTGGACCCATATGTCACAGGTGCAAATGACTCCAAAATAGTAGAGAATCAGGCCTATTCATTTTATGCTGGAAAATAGAGTAGAGATGGGGAAAATATTAGTCTGATAATTAAAAAAAAAATGATGCTGTTCTTCATCAAATAAATTACTCAAGGAATATTATTTGCCCAGTTCTAAAAATGATTTTATCTAACTGCCAGCATTCGTGATTCACCCCACCTCCAATAGGATTCTAAACCAGGGGAAACCACCCAAATCCCACCAGCAAGGAGCCAGTGGGATTTGCTGGTCTGATTCTGTATGGTGCTGAGTGCCATCAACTGCCAGCTGAAGTTCAGGGTGCTGAGCGCTTCATGGAACAGTTCTTACAGCTTTACCAAAACAGCAAGGCTGTGTGTAATTTTAAAGCAGCATTCACAGAAGGCTAAATGTGTTACTCTGAATCCAAAGGGTATTATTAAAGCAATTACAATGGAAACTTTTCTCTCTTATTACCTAATTCTGCCATGGACACAGTTGGCGAGGTCTCCCCATTTGTAAAAGAACAATAAGGGAAGAAGCCCGATGCTGGTGTGTAGTCACATATTGGTTCTGGTTTGATTCCATTAATATCAAGACCCGACTGATCTGGAGAAGGTTGTATGTCTAAGTAGAAGCTGCTAACTGCAGAGTCTGCTTTGCTACCTTCAGGGGTATGCCCATCAATGTAATTACTGAGGTCATCATGTAGCTCTGTTAGCCCATTGGTGGTGATACTGTATGTTGGTGTCAGTGGTTCTGCCTCTCCAGGTTGCTGTTGGTGATCTCGCTGTTGCTGCTGCATTCGATGTTTCTGCACCTCTGCGTACAAGCTGTCCCTCTGTTTTTTTGACATTCGACCAAACTTTACAGCTGAAATATATACACAAAACACACTTTATTTCCATACATCACCACTGCACCATAACCATCCTGAGAACTTAGATCCCAGTGATGAACACATTACGAAAACCTAGATCTGTGCAAATATCTCTAGGTACCTACAGGAAACTCACAACTTAACTACCACACTTCCTGCTACATCTTATATTCTTTAAATGGCAGTTTTAGTAAAACATTTAATTTAACCATTTGCTTTTATTGTTATTTTGATAGTTCATTAGCTCTCCAACTGTATAGATAATAGATCATATTCATTCCAGGTTCACCTCCACAGATGTCAGAGTTACAACATCCAGGCAATCAGATCTCATCACTGTTGGATGGCAATTAAAAATGAAATTTGATGGTATGACACCAGTAGCACAATTCCTATTGCATGTACACATATAAGTGTAGCCAACATATGATTAGGTATAAACTGGTGGGCTCTGCCCAGAAGAGGCTCAAATAGCAAGTTTTTTAGAAATCAGGACTGAGGTGCATGGAAAAGCTATAGAGCCAACTTACGACAACAGACATTTATTAGTGTTCCAAGTCGGTCAGTGTGATAAACAAAGACATTTACTCAATGATTAATAGTAAATAAATCCACAAGATAAGTATGCTGCATGAAAAGATATATTCATGACTTGTGAACTTGCACATTAAAATCAGAACCAAAAGACTTGTGTTGGCTTGGCATCAGTAGTTTTGCATATGACAGCAGTTCCTAAGAACATGCTATACATTTTCTGGGACCTATATCAGCTATAAAGGCTTCATGTTTTTGGGAAGAAGACTATCAGCATGTGTGTTTCTGTAGCAGGCCAAACAACTCCAAGAAACCTAGCCACTTATGAGACCAACCATTAGAGATTTTAAATAACAGTCAGGCATTTAATTCCACACGAAAAGTAAGTCAAAGGGAGTAGGGTCCCATTTATTATGTGCACAGAGCAGCACATTGTTTTCAGAACATTTGGGATTATGGACGTGGGACATTGCTGACAATATTAACTGAGAAAAGACTGAGCCAGATCCTCAGCTGGTCAATGTGGCTGCAGCTCCAATGAAATCAATGGAGATGCACTCATTTACATCAGTTGCGAATCTGGTCTTGTATTCTGTAATGTCCTTAAAATGTGTTACGTGAAATATTGCCTGTCCATTGTATTGCATACAAGGTGTCATGCATGCATACAAGGTGGATTTAGTATGGAAAGCACTTAACATTTTGTCTTAGGAAGACATTGACAGTCCTGTTTAAAGGAAGATATAAGGTTTCTCTGTCTCTTTGCCAAGAAAAAATATTTTAAGTATTTTCATTCTACAACTTTACTCTTCCATTCTCACAGATTGTACATATCCAAATATTTGACTCATTCGTGAATCGTAAATAATTCGGGTCTACGCTGATCTAATGATTAGAGTTTTACTTGGAACGGTAAGAATCTGGGTGTAATAAACACACAGAGCAAATGTTAGGACAGTTAGACTAAAAATGGCATCTTCATGGGGTGACCAGGGACAAGCAACTATAGCAAATGAGGAGAAAAAAAAATCAAGTAACTGTTTAGCTCTCTGATAGCGCTGACAGATTTTCATTATAGAATACAGTATATAAAAGCCACTGGGTATTCTCAGATATGAACATAGCATTCAGTAATTTTAAAGTCCTACATTAGGATTTGTTTGAGCAGGCATCGTACTAAATATTATTTTTCACATGCCAATCCTGGACTAGCAGTGCTCACCATCTCGAGACATCCCCACAGCAAGGCATTTCTGCAATCGACAGTGTTGACAGCGGTTTCTACTAGTTCGGTCAATCAAACAGTTCTTCTGACGAGGACAGGAGTATGTGGCATTGCTTTGCTGACTCCTCCTGAAAAAGCCCTGCGATAGAATTGCAAAATACACAATGCTATTAGTCACTGGATTCATAGGACACCATAGGCAAGATTCTGAATGGTATTCACACTTAATGGAAAATTGCGTTTAAGAGGAGCCCATTCATTACATTAAAGAGCTAACTTTTTTTCCCTGAGAAAAAAAAATTCTTTTCTAAAAAAAAAAAACTTTAAATGAAAAAATAATCTGATGCAGGAAGTGTTTACACATTTCTTCTTTATTTTCAGAGACTCTAATATACTTTTGTAACACAAATGTAACAATCCTTTTTGATTAAGTGAAAGCATTTCAAGATCAGATTTCCTGGCCAGCCAGTGTCCTAGCAGAGGTGTTTTTCACTGCCATGGAAAAATCTAGGTGCCATTCTCTGTTCTTCCTGGCTCAGCAGGGACAGCACATTCAGACCACAGGGACAGGGAGTGCAATGCAGCATCCTACAGCTACCTCACTGGCAGATTAAGCCATTGTTCTGACATCCCATTCTGTCCTTTTTGGATGGGAGGATGACAGACCTTGATGTGTAATCATAGGGGTGTGTGTGTAGCCGAGTGCGTATGCATGGGCAAGTGTGTGTGTCTAAGGCAGGAAAAAAATGGAGGTAGATGGTCAGAGCTTCCCTCAGTCAGGAATGTGATCAACTCATTATGGGGAGGGGGAAGAGGTGGATTTTCTAGTTTGTTGCTAAAGTGAGTTCTTTCACTCAGTGAGGTGTTTCCTGTTCTCCTGAACTCTCTGTAATAGACAGTCACCAGGGTCACATCCGCAAGAAAATGTTAAGAACAGTGAGAGGCTGGGCAGTGGTTACAACATAGTCCTGGTTATCAGGGCTCTTTGGTTCAATTCCCCACTCTGTCATTGGCTCACCTTGAGATCCTGGCCAGTTCACTTCATCTCTCTGTCTCAGACTTCCCACTCATAAATGTGCATGCATGGGAGTGTGTAATACCTGCTTCACAAGGGTTCTGAAGTGGTGCTGTCATCATAAAGAGGCATTTCAGATATGCTAACTCAGTATTTTAGTTTCACGTTACCACATAATGGACTAATGAACAGTGTTGCAGAGAAAATAATTCCTCAGAAAGGCTAGGCACCCTTTAATTATTGTTGGATCTTGACCAATGTTTTAATTATTTGAAGCCCAAATCCTAAAGTGCCTTGGCACATGCACCTGGTGTATAAGCAAGTGAGACAAACAGAATGGAGAAATTCTGCATGACAAGCAGCGGCGGCTCCAGGCACCAGCGCTCCAAGCGCCTGCCTGGGGCGGCAAGCTGCAGGGGGCGGCTTGCTGGTTGCTGTGACGGCGGCAGTCAGGGAGCCTTCGGTGGCTTGCCTGCGGAAGGTCCGCCAGTCCCACGGTTTCAGTGGCAATTTGGCAGCGGGTACGCCAAAGCTGTGGGACCGGCGGACCTCCCGCAGGCATGCCGCTGAATCCGCGGGACCGGGGACCTCCCACAGGCATGCCGCCAAAAGCAGCCTGCCTGCCGTGCTTGTGGCGGCAAAAAAGCTAGAGCCGCCCCTGATGACAAGGAAGCAACTTCCCAGCCGGTCTCTTGCAGACAAGAACATGACTCTAAGTCAGTGTTTCCCAAACTTGGGATGCCGCTTGTGTAGGGAAATCCCCTGTCGAGCTGGGCCGGTTTGTTTACCTGCCGCGTCCGCAGGTCCGTCCGATCGCGGCTCCCACTGGACATGGTTCGCTGCTCCAGGCCAATGGGAGCTGCTGGAAGTGGCACGTGCCGAGGGATGTGCTGGCCGCTGCTTCCAGCAGCTCCCATTGGCCTGGAGCTGCGAACCACGGCCAGTGGGAGCCGTGATCGGACGGACCTGCGGATGAGGCAGGTAAACAAACCGGCCCGGCCCGACAGGGGCTTTCCCTACACAAGCGGCGTCCCAAGTTTGGGAAACACTGCCCTAAGTCAATGCACAATGCAAAGTCACGTGTACCAAACCTATGGAGAGGTGAGGACAGAGTCCTACATCAGCTATTCCCCTTATATCTAAGAGTAGCTGACTGCAGATGCCCTCATACTGAAAAAAAAATAAGTGGGAGCTGAAGGTTCCTTCCCTCAGCCCTGCAGTGTTGTAGTACTGTTTCTAATCAGTCACGCCTCTCTTTATTCTGACCCTTGTTGTTTCTTCAATAAGTGAATTTCAAATAAGTGAATTTAGTGTTTGTGAACAGTAGAGATGGGTGACATTTTTCAGACAAAACCTTTTTTTTTTTTTTTTTTTGGCAGATTTAGGCTGGTCTTAAAACATTTTACAAATTTGTGTCAATTTTGGTGAATTGTTTCAGTCAAAAAATTGTTTTTTGGGGTGTGGGGAATGTTAAAACAGTTCATTTTAACATTTCCAAAATGAAGTGTTTTGATTTTTCAGATATAAATCCCATTGTAAATTTAATAACATACTTAAACATTTATTTGAGCAGGGACTGGAACTTAGGTGTCCCTCTCCCAGGTGCCTTAACCACTAGGCTATGGAGTCATTTTCACTCTCTCTCTCCGGCCCAATTAACATTTAAGTATTTTTACAAAGTGGAACTGCTTCAATAGGAGAGAATGAAAGAGAGACTCACCTCAGAACAGCCCACTGGTGAGGCACTCATGTGGGGATGGGGTTGGGCAGAGACCAGTCCCTGCCCTTCATTTTTGTTGCTTTTATCTATATATATGGTTTTAAAATGCCTGGAAACTAAACAGAAGTTTGACCTGAAGAAATTTTGTTTGACCTGAAGACATTTTTTTTCTAATTTCCAATTCACAGAAAATTCTGAACAATTTTAGTTTTTGGTTGACCCAAAGTTGGTTTTTTGTGTGAATTTTCAGAACTGACAGGAAACCAAAAAATCAGTTATTCACACAGCTGTAATGAATAATGCTGGACCGACATCACTGGAAACTGCCCTGAAGCCCTTTCATTATCTGAAGGATAGTTGAAGCCCAGGGCCCTGACAGTGCAAGTTTCCAAATACCATCCTGACAACATGACTGAACCCTCACTGGAGTGACAAAGAAGATAGCTCAGTTTCCATGCTCACTGGCATTGTTAGTAACACTCCTAGTAAGGGTGCAAGTAGATACCCACTAGAAAATGGGACCAGGACTCCCTGGGCTGGATATCAACTTTACTGGTGACAGAGATGAAAGGTTCCCCATCTCCTATTATCAGACCCCTAAACCAGCCAGTTCCCCATGCTGCCCATTCTCGTAGGTGCATTAATGTTTGTCCTGCTACATGAACTGTGCTATGTCTTCATCTCCTACTGCCAGCCACTGGGATCCTGCAAGGCAACTTGATCAATAGCTCAACAAGAGTGGCCATTCAATCATGGCTGAATTAACAACATGAACAAACTAGGCACATGCCTGGGGCCCAAATTAGTAAGGAGTGGGGTCCAAACTGAGTAGTGCAGTGACCCCATCAACCAGGTCGCAATACCACTCACTCAAATTTGGCCTGGCCACCCCTCCGTCATGACAAATGGGTGGCCAAGCCAAACCTGAGTTGGAAGTGGGGCAGCCAGGATTGCTCCTCCTTGCCACTTTGTGGGGGGCCAGCTCCTGAACCAGGGCTCCTCGCTCAGGAGGAACTGTAGAGGGGCAGCAGAGAGTCCGGGGTGGGACGGGGCAGACCCGAAGGAGTTAAATAGGGGAGTGTCTGTGCAGCAGGAGCCAGTCACAAATTGATCTGGATAGGAGAGAGTTAACTAAGCAACATCCCTGACGCAGGAGCCCCTTGTGCTGGTGTTAACAGATCACTAGCGCAGCTGTGCTGGTCAGGATGGGGTTAATACAAATGCGTTCCTACTGCTAGAGCATCTAGTTTAGCTGTCCACTAGAGAGACCCACAATTGTGTTTTCGTAGGGCCCAGTGATGGGTTAATCTGGCCCTGTATGCAACTGGAAGAAAGATAGCCTTCTTTTGGGTAAGTCCTTAATTTGGGCAAGCAGACAATTTGTTGTGGGTGGCTACATTGACAGTTAGCCTTTTTATCTAGGGAAGGTCTGTAGATGGCTACTGAGGATTGGTTTCAAGCAGAGGGTTATTTTTCAATATTGTAACTGAGAAACTACTAGGCTTTTTGCTCTTTCTAGATTTGTCCTAGAGACATATCTGCCAAGTACATTTTTGTGTACAATTTATCAACTAAGTTACAGCTTGCAACTAGATTTCAACAGTGCAGAACTGCCTAAAGAACCATGCCATCTACAACTGGGACTTTTAAAAGCATTTTCTGTTTACACCTGATGAATGCAGTGTAATGCTTTTAAAGATCAACTGTGCTATATACTATGTGTGTCTGCTGAAAACAACAACAGCATTTAAAGTACAGCAAAGCCCAAGTTACAACTTTCAGAAATAGAGCCAAACTTCCCCAGAGCTCAGGAATGTTCTGATCGGGGGTTTTGGTTGTAATTAATGATGGACAAACCAAAAAAAAAGAGCCAAATTTGACTTGAGTGGGGTTTTGTTTTTTGTTTAAAAATGACCAGAGTCTTAATTATATATTTTTGCCAATTATCTTAGAATTCTTTAACCCTTTGGACTCACATTATTACAAATGTATGTGTGAAAACCCTAACATCAAAGAGCTGTTACAAGCAATTACAGTTCTTTGGAATTTTCTTTGAAAACACAACACAACTATATACATTGCTCTTGTACAATCTGCACTGTCTTGTCAAAGGCACTGAGTTAGTCATGATATTCCTGCAGGGAAAGCAGGGGTGTGGAGGAAAAATAGAATATACAGTTACAATTTTGATGGAGGCCAGCTAGAAGCCATATGCTCTCAGAATTACTGTTACTATCATTTATGTTGTGGTGGCGCCTAAACGCCATAGCCAAGTTAGGTCCTGTGATGGAGAGTATAAACTCCATCCTGTCACAACCACCAAAGGGTCAAGAGACAGAGTGGATAGCTCCTCAACTGAACCTAACTGATGGATCATCAACAGTTGGGATAAGAGCCTGCAGAC